AACAGGGCAAGGTGCGGCGTGGAAAACTGTAGAGTCTTGGTAGGCAGTATGTTGAGCAGAACAGTGGCTGTAGAGAGGGCCTCTACCCAGTAGGACGGAGGCATAGACGCCTGAAAGAGAAGTGAGCGAACAACATTATTGATGGAGCGAATAATGCGTTCAGCTTTACCGTTTTGAGACGATGTGTAGGGACAGGACATGCGAAGGTGGATGCCCTGAGTGAGGAAAACCTGACGGGAGCTAGAGTTGTCAAACTCTTTCCCGTTGTCGCACTGAACAGCCTTGACCCAGGCGCCAAACTGGATGGAAGCGATGAAGTGAGTAAGCGTGCTGAAAGTGTCAGATTTAAGCCGCAAAGGAAACGTCCACAAATAATGAGTGCAATCATCAAGTATGACCAAGTAGTATTTATAACCAGAAATGCTGACAACTGGAGAGGTCCATAAATCACAATGTATAAGATCAAACTTGGTAGACGCACGGGAGGTGGACTCATGAAAGGGCAAACGAACATGACGCCCTAACTGACAAGCATGACATAACTCTGAGCAGTCCTGAATATGACAAGAGACACTAGACGCGAGCTTCGACAACGCTTCATGACCGGGGTGGCCAAGACGCCGATGCCACAGTGGGGAGGAAGCCTGGGCGACAAGGGAGTGTGCTGGGGGTAGGCGCAGAGGGTATAGCGGCCCAGAGCTATTGCACCTGACGATCTCGGTCCGAGATGGAAGAACCTTCACAGAACAACCAGCAGGGTCAAACTCAACAGAACAATTATTGTCGGTAGTAAATTGGCGAATAGAGATAAGATTCTTAATAATTTGTGGCGACACAAGGACATTATTAAGACATAAATTACGAGACAACTCTGTAGAGCCAGTGGCAGTGACAGGAAGAAGAGAGCCATTACCGACAACAATGGATGAAGGAGTAGGGTACCGCAGGAGAAGAACATGTGAAAGAGAGGACTGAGATGTCATATGTGAAGTAGCACCTGAGTCGAAGTATCACTCGTTGGACGTAGGAGGGGTCAGCGACGTTGTGCTGAAGGCGGAGGCGAGGGCCGTCGGGTCCCAAGAGGGGAGGCCGGCCACCGGGTTGTAATACCCGGGGGCGACCCACTGTCCAGTGCCATCAGGAGCAGGGAGGGCAGCGGCCTGCTGGTGGATGGCAAGGGCATGTTGCTACTGTTGGGCGAGGAAGGCCTGCTGCTGCGCGTGATGTTGTGCCTGCTGTTGTGCCTGCTGCTGCGCCTGTAGGTGAGGAGGCACTGGGATGGGTGCCAGCGGTGGACGAGGTCCCCCTGGCCACATCTGAATGGTTCCAGTCTAGGGGTTGTAGACGCTGGGCCATGGCCGCCGGCCGGCCGGCTGCTGCTGCTGTTGGGCGCCACCAGTGGGACGTGACCCCTGTCTAGGAGGGCCACCGCCGTTGTTGCCTTTGCCGCCACCGCCGTGCTTGCTGCGATGGTTGTTCGGTGGCTTGGAGTGCCCACCAGCACCTGTGCCGGAGGACGCAGGGGCAGGGCTAGGAGTGGTGGAGGCGGCGAGCGCAGTGGCAGGTGCGTCCTTGCGGGTCTCCATGGTGAGTTCCTCGAGGATGAGGTCGTCACGAGCCTCTAGGAAGGTGGGGAACGGTCGAGCTCGACGAAGGAGCGTCCCAACATGGCTGAAGCGCTCGTTGAGGCCACGGATCATGTTAAGGACGAGCGTGCGGTCGGTGACGACCTTGCCAAGGTCCGTGAGATCATCGGCCATCTTTTTCAACTTGCGGCAGTAGTCGGTGACGGAGAGGTCGCCCTAGACGAGGTTGCGAAACCGTGTCTCGAGGTGGATGGAGCGAGCCTCACGGTTGCCAAGGAACTGCTACTCGACGGCGAGCCAGGCATGCCGAGCGGTGGAGCCCTAGTCGGAGATGATCTCGCCAAGGTCGTCGGTGAGCGTGGCGACGATCCAGGACTTGACGACGCAGTCCATCCGGGCCCAATCTGGAGGAATTGGGGCTGGAGGTTCCTCTCGAACATGATCCTAGAGGGAGAACTTGCCGAGGATGAGAAGGAACTGATCACGCCAGCGGTTGAAGTTACCGGAATCGACGTCGAGGATGGTGGTGACGTGGTTCCGGATGTTGCTGACTGCAACAGCCTGAGCATGGAGTTGAAGAAGGGCAACAGTCCTCGTGATGCAGCATGGCATCCTGAAGATCGGGTGGCGGCGTTGAAGTGCCTCTAGGTGCGGCGCCAGAGGGTTCCGGAGCAACGGCGGCAGCAGCGGCCGCCCGCTCCTTGGCAGCGCGCGCCAGTGCCTCGCTAGCGTGCTGGGCGGCGGCGCGATCCTTAGCCGCGGCTGTGGCCTCCTCCTCGGCTCTGTAGGGCGCGTGCTAGGGCAGCATCACGCGCAGCACTGACGCCGCGCTTTCGAGACGCGCCGAGCGGCGGCGGCGACTCTCGGTGGCCTTCTCCGCGGCGGCGAGGCGTTAGGCGACAGCGTCTTCTGGATGGTGGCGAGAGAGGCGGCGGATCGTCCCCACCACAGGGGTTCTTGGAGGGGTGGAGGGCATGGTGGCGCGAAGACGGTGTGTCTGCGGCCTGGCGGAGCAGCGCAGCAGCGCGGGCCGGCAGCGTGGAGGGCGGCGGAAGAGGAGACCTAAACCTAGGCGGCTGATACCATGAGAGCGAATAGGTCTCGGGAATTGATTGATAGATTAACAGCAGTACAGGGTATAATATATAGGCAAGGATCAATAGGGTTTATAGAAACATCCAATCAACGGTGATCCTTGCCTTATTAATGTAATCTATCTATCTTAACCTCTAAGGCAGCCAACCTAACAGGCTAGGCGCCAGGCCCAAGGCCAGCCCATTAGGGCGCCTATTCTAACACGTACAATAGGATGCATTGGATTCCAATTTCTGAGGATTCCATTTTGCCGTATATCATAAGTTTGGGCGTACAGTATGACACTTGATTCCAATTTTTGAGTATTACATTTCATCGTATATCATAAGTTTGGGTTTATGGTATGGTGCTTTAGATTCCAATCTCTGAATATTCCATTTTGCCGTGTATCATATGCTTGATTGTATAGTATGACGCTTTAAATTCAATTTCTGAATGTATCATATGCTTAGGAGTCTAATTAAAATTATGTGTGGGCCTATTTGTCAAGTGCAGTGTCCATTAATTGTAGAACAGTGCTACATACACTGTGGTATGAATTTTCCAAATATTTTAATTTTATTATCTTTATCGATGCATAGTTTTCCCCTTCCAAACAGCAGGAACGGCCCTGGATTTCGTTGAACGCAGGGCTGCTAAAGAAGCGGAGCTTGATTTGGTATTCGTTGAGGTTAATCTTAACAATATGGCACCAGGCACTTCGGCAAACTCTGATCTGCTCCATTATTACATACTGAATGAACTTCAAGTCCCTCTTACCGGTAAGAGTTTATATTCGGAGCTCTATTTTTTTAAGAATTTCTCACCTATCCCAAACTCACCGTCCAAGGGTTATTCCTCCTTGTTGACAGCAATGTGTTCTTGTGACGATGAAGAGGCACTTTCCAAATGTATGAACTCAGGTGCATGCTTCCATGTCTTTGAAGCCCTTTGACCGGACGTAAGAAGCTTGACGTTCTCATGGCACCAAGCACTGGAACACAAGTCTAAAAAGGCAGCACCTCAGGGACCAACTCCTAATAGTACAAAAAATTGAATGGTTTCATCATCTACTGAAAAGCCCAAGGAAGTGCTTATCCTAGAGAGAAACGATTTATCCGATCCTGAAAGCAATGGATATGAAGAACCAAAGAAGCGAAATCGGATCACATGGACCATTGAGCTCCATGAAAAGTTCTTGGAGGCTGTCGAAGCTCTTGGGGGGACGAGTGTAAGTATAGCTCATACCTACACATGGCTTGAAATCTGAATTAGCTATTTGTTATTTTATTGGCTAAAACATGATCATGTGCTGTTTATTTTCTTTGGGTGGCTAACAGATGCTACACCTGAGGGGATCCTCCACCTGATGAATATAAAGGGTTTAACTGCGAAGCATATAGGCAGCCATCTCCAGGTGGGTGATTAATTGATTATTTGTACCAAAGGCCCCATCCACTAAAGCTTCCTTATAAGCTTGATTTTCTAATCTTGGAGCTTTCAAGGGAAGCACTAATTTTGTTACCTTGAACATTCAATACATTGAAGAGAAAGACATCGTTTAGGATAGTTGTGATTAAGCAGCACAAGTTGACAACTTGTTCGCTCGCTCGTATCTTTTCTATTGGCATTAAAAGTCTTCTCCACCCTTTTGTTCGGCGTATTTTTGTCTCACACTTCCGTGGTCTTTAGTATCCATTAGTTCAAAGCATTTTTGTTGGCATGTGTGTGTGTGTGTCACACTTCCATGGTCTTTAGTATCCATTAGTTCAAAGCATTTTTGTTGGCATGTGTGTGTGTGTGTGTTTGTTTTGCCCTTGTGGGATCTATATGCGTTCTGGTAATTTATTGTGGAATCTGACAAATCGGCACCCGCCCTTCCTGTTTCTAGCTTCATCTGGCTGATAACATGCCTTAAACTTTTTATGTGTGTGGGTGGGTGGGGGATGGTCTTATCCTTATGTTACCCTTCCCTTGGTACCCCAAGGACCTTAAACTATTCACCTCCTTGAATTCCATTCAGCTCTTGACACCTATGGCTGAACTGATCTCATACGGTGTTCTTTAGCTAAAGTGCCACTTTAAATTGCTGTATTAGTTTGACCTTTAATACTGTGACCTAACTTTGTCCCTTGCTTGACAATTTTCTCCTCAAATGTGATATAGAAACATCGATTGCGCCACCGGAATGCAAAGCAAGGAGGACAGCGCCAAGAGAATGCCAGAAGAAAACCAATTCCTGAGCTGATAATATCAGCGCATGATGAAGCCACTTCTGAATCCATCACACCCAGAGTTGAGACAGACGGGGAAGTGTACCCCTTAAGGCTGTGGACAAAGATGAAGAAAAGGTCAGTGGACACAGTGGCGCTGAAGACTGACATGTACACATGCACATCTGGAAACTACAGAGAGGACACAGAGTCTGTGTGTGTGTGGGATACATATGAAAATAACCTGCAGAGAATATTCCCTGAGAAAAAGAAACGTTGGCAGTTCATGAGCGAACATCAGTGGCCTGGGAAGAACAATATTGTTATCACAGATGAAGGGATCCAAATGAAGCCCCTGAAACTCCTGGTGGTGCATCCATAGAAATCTCTGGTTCAAGCAGCTTTACAAGTGATCAAGTGGGAGAGAATAATCTTGCTGAAACTGACAGAGACAATAACACCGTGGGAGCATTGATTTCCTTGCAGGTATCATGAGCATTGGTTTGCATGAATAATTGAAGATTAAGCGTCCTGTTAACTTGTTTGCCGTGCTACTTATTTACCATTTTATCCTCCTTCTTGTGTGCTGGTGAACTAGGTGTAGTTAATAAGCCCTGCTTCACTTCCTAGATAACTATGCTAGTTAATTACAGTCATTAAAGACCTTGGGCAGCCCAAGAGGTGTGTACGGCTGCCAAGGCACCTATCTGATTAGCTATGCTCTAGTGAGCTGTTTGTAATCAATGCAATGTCTATCTCTATATATAATCAAGGAGACGGCCTGGGGTTTGTGGCTTTTCAGGCTAATCAAGTCTGTATTACCTCCAACACTAGGTTATGGTGCATCCATAGAAAGCTCTGGTTCAAGCAGCCTGTTAGCAAGTGGTCAAGTAGGAGAGAACAATCATTCTGAAGCTGCCAGAGCCAATGACAATGTGGGGAACGTTAATTTGCTTGAAGGTATTATCGATGTTGATTTGCTTGAAGATTAAGTGCTCTGTTAAGTAGTCTGCCTTGCTGATACCTTACCTTTTTGTCGTTTATTTTGTGTGCTGGTGAGATAGCTTACCGTGCATACTTAGGAACCTCTGGTTCAGGCAGCCTGTTAACAAGTGATCAAGTCAGGCAGAATGGTTGTGTTGAAGCTACCAGCGACAATAACAACTTGGGGAGCATTAATTTGCCTCAAGGTATCATGAACATTGATCTGCTTGAAAATTAAGTGTCCTGTTAACTAGTTTGCCTTGCTAATACCTCATTTACCATTTTTACTCCTCCTTTATTAATATAAAGAACTGCAGTTTAATCTGCTGGCTTCTCTTTAAAAAGAACTTATTTACCTATTTATCCTCCTTTTCTGTGTGTTGGTGAAATAGGTTATGATGCATTCGCAGAAATCTCTGGTTCAAGCAGCATGTTAACGAGTAATCAAGTGGGAGAGTGTGAGATAATCTGCTGCACTCTCCAGCCTTTTGTAGCAGCTGCACACTCCACTGTACACTTAAAAATGGGCCTGCTGCATAGCAACTTTTTAAGTGTACAGTCCACTTTGTGCAGCAGCAACTTTAGCAACCTTTTAAGTGTACAGTTCACTCTGTAGCAGTAGCAGGTGTAGCTGTAATTTATTAGAGTTGTGTATATATCAGCTTGTTTAGTAATGGAAAGAGCAGTTCAGTTTGCTGCATCTTCAGAGCTGCATAGCTGCTGCTCAGGGTGTGTGTGCACTCTGTTCTCACCCTTTCTTCAACCTCCAGCTGTGAGTGTGTGTGTGGGGTGCTAGTGAGCTGATTGCGCACACGCCTCCACCACTGTCCCCTGCTGCGGCAGGACAGGGGATGCCTCCAGCGACGCCGGTTGAGCTCGCCTCTCCTTCGAGCAACATCGACGAGTACGTGGACGCCTTCCACGACGGTGAGGAGGTGCGCTTCCACACCATGGACAACCTTGTCGGCGACTCGGCTGCACCGGGCTTGGCAAGCCAATTACTCGGCGATTAGGAGCTGCTCCTTGTCAGCGCAGAGGAGCCACCCACGTTTGCGCAGGCCGAGCAGGATGCCAATTGGAGGCGGGCGATGTTGGAGGAGATGAAGGCCATTGAAGACAATGAGACGTGGGAGCTCATTGATCCACCTCCAAGCTGTCGGCCTATTGGGCTGAAGTGGGTCTACAAGGTGAAGCGGGACGAGCACGAGCGCCATCGTCAAGCACAAGGCGTGCCTCGTTGCCCTCGGCTTCATCCAACGTGAGGGCATCGACTTCAAGTAAGTCTTTACGTCGGTGGCGCGCATGGAGTCCATCCGCCTGCTGCTGGCTCTGCCAGCGGCCAAGGACTGACGAGTTCACCACTTGGACATGAAATCGGTGTTCCTTAACGGTGAGCTGGTGAAGACGATCTTCGTCAAGCAAGCTCCGTGCTTCGCTGTCAAGGGAGCGGAACACAAGGTGCTGTGGCTGCGCAAGGCGCTTTACGGGCTACGGCAAGCCCCGTGGGCGTGGAACGCCAAGCTCGACACCACGCTGCGCGCGCTTGGGTCCGCATGCTGCGCAACAGAGCACGCGCTCTACACGCGGCTACGGGAAAGGAGGAGCTCGTCGTCGGCGTGTATGTGGACGACATGATCATCACTAGAGCGCGCACGGAGGACATCGACGGCCTTCAAGCGTGAGATGGCGGCTCGGTTCCACATGAGCGACCTCGGCCAACTCTCCTACTACCTCGGCATCGAGGTGAAGCAGAGGAGCGATTCCATCTCCCTAGGCCAGCACGCCTACACGAAGAAGCTACTAGAGCGTGGCGGCATGGCAGACTGCAAGCTATGCGCGAATCCAATGGAGGAAAGGCTGAAGCTGTCAAAGAATAGCACCGCGGCGAAGGTGGACGTGACGCGTTACCGGAGCATCGGCGGCGGGCTGCGGTATCTGACTCATACCCGGCTGGACACGTCGGCGGGCTGCGGTATCTGAGTCATACCCGTCCGGACATCACGTTTGCGGTCAGGTATGTCAGTCGGTTCATGGAGGATCCTCGCGAGGATCATTGGATTGCAGTGAAATGGCTGCTGTGCTGCGTCAAGGGGACGGTGGATCAAGGGATGTCTTTCCTAAGACCGATGGCGAAGGTGGGATGGGGCTCACAGTCTTCAGCGATGCACTCCCCAAGACCGACGATAGAGGTGGGATGCGGCTCACAGTCTTCAGCGATGGTGATATGGCGGGCGACATTGATGGGCGGCGGAGCATCTTTGGTGTGCTTGTCTTCCTTTGTTCAGCCCTGATTTCGTGGCAGTCACTGAAGCAGAAGGTGGTGGCGCTGTCTACGTGCGAAGTGGAGTACATCACGGCGGCCATAGCGGCGTGCCAAGCGGTCTAGCTGCGCCGGCTGCTGTGCGAGCGGACCGTCTAGGAAGCTCGTCTGCCAGCTCTGATGGTGGACAATGAGCCCGCCATTGCCCTCGCCAAGAACAATGTCCTTCACGACCAGAGCAAGCACATCGACATCAAGTTTCATTTCCTTCGGGATTATGTTGATGGAGGACAGATCATCCTCAAGTTTGTCAAGACCGACCGATAGCTCGCGGACATCCTCACCAAGCCACTTGGGCGCCTTCGGTTCTCAGAACTGAAGAACAAGATTGGCATGGTGGAGCTCAAGACCAAGGAGTAGAGGCAGCAGGATTAGGGGAAGATTTGTGAGATAATCTGCTGCACTCTCCAGCCTTTTTGCAGCAGCTTCACACTCCACTGTACACTTAAAAAGGGGGCCTGCTGCATAGTAACTTTTTAAGTGTACAGTCCACTTTGTGCAGCAGCAACTTTAGCAACCTTTTAAGTGCACAGTTCACTCTGTAGCAGTAGCAGGTGTAGCTGTAATTAATTAGAGTTTTTTTGTGACTTGTAATTGATTAGAGTTGTGTATGTATCAGCTTGTTTAGTAATGGAAAGAGTAGTTCAGTTTGCTACATATTCAGAGCTGCATAGCTGCTGCTCGGGGTGTGTGTGTGCACTCTGTTCTCACCCTTTCTTCAACCTCCGGCCGTGAGTGTGTGTGGGTGCTAGTGAGCTGATTGATCACCTGTGCAGGGAGATCGAGGACCAACAGGGAGAACAATCATACTGAATTTGCCAGAGACAATGACCACATGGATAACATTAATTTGCTTGAAGGTATCGTGGACATTGATCTGCTTGAAGATTAAGCATCCTGTTAACTAGTTTTCTTTGCTAATACCTTACCTTATTATCTTCTAATTTTGTATGCCGGTGAGACAGTTTATGGTGCATCCTTAGAAAACGGCGGTTCAAGCCGCCTGTTAACAAGTGATCAAGCCAGACAAAACAATCTTACTGAAGCTGCTAGAAACAATGACACCATGGGGAACAATAATTTCCGTGAAGGTACCATGGACACTGATCTGCTTGAAGATGTCCTGTTAACTTTCCTTGCTAATACCTTTCTATCTTTTATTTATTGACTCTCTTGAGGTTTCATTCCTAGACTGCATAACTTGCTTGGGACTAAAAGTCTTTCTTGTTGTCAAAGGTATCACGGACCCGGAGTACAATGCATCAATGGATTTTTCTGTTGTTTGGGCGCACCTAGAGAGCAATGATCTGGACCTGACAGGCCCTTCTGATGACTAGGAGGAAGCAGATTCATTTTGGATGAGTCAGCTGGAAAGCCTTGACCTGGAGGATCTCCGTGACAACACATGTAATGATGATCTGAGATCGGTTGGTCTGATTAACGTAGATGAACCAGTGACTCAAGGATCGCAAGAGCAGCAAAGCCTTGGCATGGAGGATGTAACACCCTCCGTGTTACACCCTAAATCATTTACTAAAACATGTCATGAGCATCATGTTTATGTGTTAGTGTATGTGATAGAATATGTAGATAAATTTCTTGTAACTTAAAATAATCAATAAAAATGCTAAATGAAAGTTTATTCAATAGCTCATGTATATCAAGTAGGGTTGAAAACCAATTTTTATTAAGCAAAAATACTATAGAACATGTGTGTGATAATTAAATAAAGTTTGAAGTACAAACTTTGTAGATGACAGTGAGATACTTGCTATTGAAAAATGATATTACTAGCTAATATTTCTACTAGCCTAGAAATTACAAATTGAAATCAAGTTCAGCTCAAAAACTTAGAAAATTTTCAAGTTTATCAACTAGACATTACTATGTTTACCAAATTATTTTGAGAGATTGGGTTAAAGGGTGGTGTAGTGTTATACCTCGATTTGGTAGTCTCATATGTCATCTTGAGTATGGTGAAGATGGTTTGGCTTCTGAAGCAACCGTTTAGTCGTTTTGGGCACTTTAAAATTCGTGAACGACATAGCCTCGGGATGGTTGGCGTCGTGCGCACGGTCACCGCGCGGCCACCCCGCGTCGCGCACATGGCCGCGTCCCGCGCGGTCACCCCATGTCGCCACGTTGGGTCGGTTGAGCCGCCTGGGCTTGGCCGAAGCCGGCTGCAGCGAGCCGCTGGCCCCGCACCTTACTGCCCTACCTCGCGCTGCCGCCATTGGTGCGGCCGTGGCCGCGCTGCCGTCGCCTCGCCGTCGCATCCGCACCCCCCTTGCGGCTCTGCACCGCTATCTGCCCTGCCGGTGGCCCTGCCGTTGCTGTGCGTGCTTGGCATATTTGCGGCATCGGCACATGGCCGTACCTGCTGTCGCCTCGCCATTAAGGCATGGCAGTCGCTCGTGTTGTGTCGATCGCGGACGCGTGCACACCTTGTCCGTAGAGCCTGCGCATGTGCGTCCTATCGCGCCGCTCACGTCCCGCCAAGGTGAGGACAAGCTGAGCTCTGACCTACCCCCTCCCCTCTCTCTTCGTTGCTGCCTTGGTGGACTGAGCCGCACCATTAAAACAAGTAGGGAGGAGTCGTCATTGCTCGATTCGTCACGTCACTAGCTCCGTCACCCAGCTGCCTAGCTACCCGCCCCCACCCTGTCTTGAATGGCGTCCGATCGAGCT